TTAGGGATAAATATGGGGCCAGCCTGCCTTCCCCACATGCCTGCTTTCCAGAGTTTGGGCTGATAGCCTACCCTTCTGCAGAAGTAAATTTTGTGTTGCTGAGATAATTCTTTTAAAAAGGAGAAGAAGAAGGAGGAGGAGGAGAAGGAGCTTCATTTCAGTATCTCTAAGAAAAAAATAAATAATGGCAAAGAGCCATAATATTTAGCCACATGATTCTCATGTACCTGTGTAGGAAAGCTGAGTAAAACAAATAGCCCAAGACTCCTACCTGTAAGTTCACACACAGGGGTTCACTGAGTCCCAGTCACTGGAAACAAAATGCCTTTTCCTTTCCATGTTTTAGGTGCCCAGTGGTTAACAACTTTTCCATTTTTTGTAATTTTATAGAACCACTATAGTAGAAAGCCAGCCAAGAGGCCCAGGGTAAGTGTAAATTGGTACCGCTTCTCTGTCAGGGTCATAAAAATGCAATCACAACCAGGATTGTCACTTGAGAAAAACATGACAATGATCTGCTTCCAGGTGCAAGAATTGTCTATCTAATGAACATATAAGAAGTTCCTGTCCCTAGTAGGTATGGTTGAAAGAGCATGGTAAAACTCTTATCTCCATAATAGTTCAAAATATTTTTAACACAATGTGAGAAGCATCCATGGCGTGGAAGAGATTAATTATTTGGTGGTGAGCAAACCAACTGTAACATCTTATTTTTCTAGCCCCATGCCATCTCAAATGCTCATTATTAGACAGATGCAGTCTATGTGTCCCTTTCATATCACAAATAATCAAGAAGACTTGAAAGGATTCAAGCCGTGAATAACCTCCAGAGAATGGTTGGATTTTTGTTTGTCATATAATGTTAATTTTATGTATTTTTACATTCATTCCTCAGGGGAAACAGATCTTACAAATTGCTTTGTAAGTCAGGAACAAACCATGAATATTGATCATCTGTATCACCTCTTGGGTTTTTCTTTTCATATCACTCACAATCATCTTAATTTTTAAAAATTATTCTTTCTGGTGTTATCAGACCTTCCTTCTAGGGCCATAATAATAGCTAGTACTACATATTTGGTTATTTTCAAAGAGTAGCAATTGATTTTTCCCCCTAGATGAAAAGACCTTGCTTTAAACTGTCATGGTATTTATTTCAACTGAATCACTATGAATAAATGTATCAATATTTTATAGTATATACTGATTTAGGAATCAGATAAGAAAATTGTTTCATATCTTCTATTAAAAACACAGATATTACAATCTCATTCATAATCAAGGAGAGAAAGTTGTGAAATTAATTTATTCATGACCTGATATAATTTCAGAGTATCCTCTTCCAAAAGAAATAATCCATGTACCTTGAAAAGTGTCAAAATAATAAATATATTTAAATGATAGAGTTTATAATCTGATCTAGAAGGAAAAGAAGAATAGATCATGAATATTTTCAATCTTAAAGAAAGAAGTTCTATGAGGGAAAAGTGACAAGTTGTGGCAAGTATAAATAAAAAGAACATGGAGAAACTATGTTTTGTCAGAAAGATATTCTCCTCACATATCAATTACACCTGTGTGGATAGACCCATTCTGACAGATGCACCCAATGTTTATTACTGGTAAGATGGCAGTCAAGAAGGAAGAGACAACAATGCTCGACAGGAATTGTGTTCATTACCTTACTTTTGTAACTGTAACCCCTCTGTACAGTATTTTTACAATAAAAATGTACAAAAAAATCCCGAAATCAACAAGTTGATACAACCTGGAACACAGAAAAATCACTGGACCTATAAATTCAAATAAGTTTAGAAATGTTTTTATATATTACATGTAAAAAAGAAAGATGATGTTGGGGTTTATATTCTACAGTCATTTATTAAAAAGTCGCATCCACAATTGAATCTCCTCAGAATTACAAAGTACTCAGTCTGAAGGTCTAATTATAATGTAAAGAAAACTGGTACTTAAGCCGGGCACCAGTGGCTCACTCCTGTAATCCCAGCTACTCAGGAGGCTGAGGATCACGGCAGGAAAATCTGTGAGACTCTTATCTCCAATAAACCACTCGAAAACTGAAGTAGCGCTGTAACTCAAGCAGTAGAGTGTTCGCCTTGAGCTGAAGAGTGCAGGGACAGTGCCCAGGCCCAGAGTTCAAGCCCCACAACCGACAGAAAGAAAGAAAGAAAGAAAGAAAGAAAGAAAGAAAGAAAGAAAGAAAGAAAGAAAGAAAGAAAGAAAGAAAGAAAGAAAGAAAGAAAGAAAGA